TTGTTATAGAAAGTAATAATTTGGCCAAAACATTCTCCTGAGTTTTTTTTATATCAATAGTCAGCCATACTGGAAACAAATAGATACATATGGATATTGTCTCCATCATATTTGGATGAATCCTGATTTGATATTTTCTTCCTTCTCGCTTGGAATTAGTGCTTTTACAGACAGTGCTCTTTTAGATGCTATCAGGGTGGATTTTACTGATTTAGGTTACAGGAAGGAACTTAGGCCAGAAATAGATGGTATGTTTTCTGCTAAGAATACTGAAATAGCTCATCTTAAAAGATGGGGGAAACCTAGCCAGTTGGCCACAGACCAGCAGATTGCCAGGCTGACAAGTCGCGGGAAGCTTGGCTGGCAGATTAATGGTTTAAAATCTAATGCTCTAAAAGGAGAAGTTGGGTCTCAGTAAGCACTTGGCAGGAGCAGAATCGGGAAGAGCTGTGTGCTAATGCCCTAATGCAGTTTTGCCTTTGACCCTACAGCATGTTTGCAAGGCCCTGGCATTGCCATGTGGTGTTTCTGTCACTGTGGTATTGAACCACAGCCTTCTGTTTGCCTTTACCAAAAGTAATCATCACCTATCAACTGTATAGGTCTGTTTGATAGAAATCCTTCTTGAGACTTCAACCATTTAATTGCAAGGTCCTGGTTTTTTTTTTGCACGAAAGTGGTCTTTAGTTGTGTGGCTTTAATGCTGAACAGGCTGACAACTGTGAGACCCAGCTACCCCAAGTGCCCTTTTCCAGCTGTTCTCAGTATTCCAGTCATTGTAGTACTCACTAGACTAGAGATTTCCAAAGCCTTGCTCTGACAGCATTGTCCGCCATTAAAACTGTGCAACATAGTTGATGTTCATGTTAACATTTTTTTTATTACCTAAAACATTCTTAAAATCACTAAGTGAGACAGGTTAAACTAGAAAACAACTATGGGCCAGAATTCATGCAGTCCTGCAAGAAATTGTTCTTTCCACAAATGGAGGAGAGCAAATACAGAATGGGAGTTTAGGTTTATGTGGATCTTGCTTGTTTGTTTACCTTGTATTTTTGCTGAGGATACTCCACATCCTAAGTATTTCTTCCCTGGTATCAAAAAATGGAGACAGAGGCAGCATGCAGTGCTCCTCAGGATAGGCTGACGGGCAGATCCCACAGGCTTTGCTCCGTTTCCACTCAGTCTTTCCTTCATTTACAGTATCAGGCTTTAGCCAGGGATGGTTGCAAACATGCAGTGTTTGTCAGGGGGCTGACTCTTACATCCACAGAACACAATGAAACATATTTGAATACTCTGTCTTAAAGTTTGGGCAGTGTTTACAAGTTGTTTACTTTCCACTTCTTTTCATTCATTGTTTCTCGTGATTTGACAGCATTCCAGATCCAAGATTGATTTGGTTATATCATACAGTTTTCTATCAGACACAAGAATGGCCTCTTCCTGTGCAGCTGTGTGATAGCAGAGCTCAAACAGGAATAAAATCTCCGTAAGGGAGTAAGAGGAGTTCAAAGGCACATTACAGAACAGGCACTTGCTGCCTGGCTGCAGTTGCAGCAGTGCCGGGGCTGAAGGCATGGCCCATGGGGCAGCCCAGTGAGCAGAGCAGAGGGGATGGTGACCATGCAGCATGTGCTCTGAGCAGATAGAGCAGCTGTGGTGCCCTCAGGCTCTCCTCTTCCTCTTAGTGGGGTTGCTGGAGTTTAGAGGCCACTGTCACACAATGTACTGTTTTAATGATAAGTCATCTTATCATACTCGTACTCAGAGTAAGGACTTCTTTCCACATGCTGCCAAACAAATTGAGTTAAACTGGTAAAATGATGCCCGGTGTGCTGTCTCTAAGTGAAGTGCTTGGCTGTTACATAATGGTTTTAATGACTTTCTTCATCTGTCTGCTTAGGCACACCACGCGTCTGGCAAAAATTTGAGAAGGCTCAAGGCGTTAAAGAAAGCTCATCTAAATAAAGGCGGGTTAAAGTGACATTGCAGTTACTTAATCCTGCATTGTCCTGCCATGTGACTTCAGTGATACGGAGGCGCTGCGTTTCTTTTGGCTGGTGCACAGATCATGCTTTTCCTGTCATCTTCCAGGATCAGTTGCTTTGTTAAAGCAGCAATGGGAAGGAAACGGAGGGGCAACAGACTATTTACAGCAAGGCTTCGAGGCGGTCACTTCCAAGGTACAGTGACAAGCTCCCAGGCTGAGGAATGAATCAGAGAAAAACCCTGTGTTCAGCTTTTGGACTGGTACCAGAATCAGGACCCACGTTCTTAAGGTCAGCTACTCAAAATGAACTGGAAACATCTGAATTTATGCAGAGTAGGTAATCAGCTACTTATCTGATTTTTTCCTATCAAGCCAGTTTTCAAAGCAGCTAGCTAGACCCTGAAAATTTGTGTCAAATATTCTGCATTTGTTTCAAATGTACTACATAAAATGTGAGCAACGCACTGTTTTTCTGCATAAAGTCTGCTGTTTGAACTGCAGAGCTTCTTTTACCTTGCAGATGAGCATCCTGACACACTAAATCTGTCAGTGAGAAATGGACAAAAATAGAACCAAATTCCATCTCCAAATTTGGACAGAACTGCAATGTGTAGATACAACTTTTGAGGTGAATTCCAAACTGGTATGTGGACTTCTTCACTAAGCTGTTTTGTTGCTGTTTGCACGGTGTCTGTTACGTGCTGGATTGCATATTAGCAGAGGAATATTTCACTTCATTAAACTCCTTGTTGGGACATTTTGTTCAATGGAGCTGTGATTACCTACAGACTATGACAACAGGATTTGTGAATGGAAGAGGTCTTGGAAAGCATCGCTATGCCAGGTGGAATCGTGAGGACAGTGGAGAAGACTATGGGCGTGAGGAGTGCTGTGGAGGAGATGAAGAGGGCAGGCAGCAGAGGCTGACCCCATTTGAGAAACTAATGCAGGATATGTCCCACAATGAAAAAGTGGTGAAAGAATTAACCCTGGGAAAGAGAATTGGCTTCTACCGAGTCAGAGGAGAAATAGGAAGTGGGAATTTCTCGCAAGTGAAACTTGGAATTCATTCTCTTACCAGAGGTAGGCACTGCTGTGTGGGTCACCTGGTTTCTGATCGCCCTAGTTCTGTGTACACATAAACTGACCTCTTTGGTAAGAAAAATGCTGCCGAAACCTTCAATACACATACCAGGTGTATGTGCCTTTTTCCTTGTGTGAACCTGTAAGCAAGTACAAAGATAAATGCTTAGGTTAGAGGTAGCCTTCAGCCGTGACAAGCAGCCAGAAACACTTCATTTGGGTGGCACATCTCACCCTGCAGCTCATGACTCCCCACACTTTGAAAGACAGTGCCACAAACAGTCCACCTGCTGTCTCCCATGCCCAGCGCAGAGGCTGCAGGCTTGCGGGTGCTAAACTTCCAGGGCAGCCTAGCTTGGCATGGACCTGCCACAGCTGGAGGGAGCAAGGCTTCCTTTGCTTAATGGCTAATTTTAGTAATTTTGGTGAGAAATTTGATGATGTGTTATGCAGGTGGTTCATTAAGGTAAAAAGCTGGGACAGGGAATACAAGTATAGGCTGAGCAGATGCAGGAAAACAAGCGTTGGTACAGCCAAATCTGGGTAGAGGGTAAGTACAGAAACACACTGCATATACTGCTTGTATGGAGAGCTAGAAAAGCTAGATAACTGCAGCAAACACTTTGGTTACAGGTGTAACTATGAACTTGCTTTCATCTACCCTGTTTCTTCTGCTGTCTTTGACCAAAACAAAAACTGCTTGATCTCCCCTGGGGATAGCTACTTTTCCACGTGCCTTTGTACATTACCATCTTCAGTTTTTCTCTCATCTTTCTTTTATAATTCAATCAATTCTCATTCCTTTCACCATCTAAAAGGCGGGAAGACTAGGTTCTCCCCCAAACTTTCATTCTTTACTATCTGCTGCTATTTTTGCTGACCACCTCCTTCAGCCCAGACTGCAGAGATCTGAAAGTTCATGATAAGCCCAGTTACAGTTTTTACATTGGGAAGTGAAGAATTGGTGGTATTGTCTGTTCTTCTGTTTCTGCGCTGTTTGGTTTTTTTTTTTCCCCCAAAACTGAAGTCTGTCTTAGCCTATGGGTTTGTCTATCTGGGTTCGTTTTTTCTGCTTCCTTGCTTCAGGAAACCCTGTTCTCCTTGGCCTACAGCAAGTTGTTTCTTTTTCTGCTGAGTGATATTTTTCCTTTCACAGAGAACTGTCTTCTGTTTATAATTGGCAGAAATGCTGCTCCCATATTGGGAACAAGAGGAATGCTGATGGGAAGATAAATTTGAGCCAGATGAGCTTTTACCTGTTGAATTTCCCTAGGAGACAGGTTGCTTTAGCATTTGCACAGAGCTGACTGATTGAACACTTTTGGACTTCAGCAAGTACAGTAAATTTGAACAAATTAAATATAAAAACAGGCTTTTTTTTTTTTCCTTGAAAAGCTTCTTTTTCACCAAAAATCTCTAAAATTATTTTTTTGTCATTGGGGATTAAAATTTTCATTGGGTAATTTTCTGATGCTAATTTTGCAACTGTCACGAAGAAGGAAGGCTGAGGGGAAAGCACTGTCTTACTTGTTTCTGCTTGTGACTTTGTCTGGCATCATAAAGTATGCATTTGGGATGGAGGAGAGGAACAAGTGTGGGTGCACTTCCCCTACATACGCATGCACACATACACATACCCTTCCAAAGAGGAGTCTCCTTCCAGTGTATGTTCACTGCTGTGTTGTTAATGAACTGATGTACCTGCACAGAGCTAATAAGTCTCCTCTTGGCAGAGGTGCAGATAAAAAGGCCTTCCTTGGGGCAGGGGAAGGTACGTGTATATCTTGCATATATTCATCTCTTCAGTTGTTGTTGTAGGTTCTAAGCATTGTCTTTCTGCTGACATCTCACCCTACTTGAAGAAGGAAACAATTTCGTTCTTCACCATGACCAGTTCCTGTAACGATTCTGTAATCAGGTGTGTGCTGTTCTCTAGCCCTCGTGCTCTGTTGCAGCAGAACACCCAAAAATGGTTTGCAAGAAGCTGATAAGGGCAATAAAAACAGTAGTGTCAAAGTGGATGAAGAACCCTGCTTCTCTCACAAAGAGAACGTTGGTTGTTGAGCAGTTGCAGGAAAATCTTAGGTGGTGTGATGTGTACTGGGTTATTCAGATGCACTGCCCCAACTTGGTTTTGATTTTATTTCCTTTTGCCAATATAGCATATGCTACTTTTTCCTGAAATAATTTCTCAACCATTTATTAACTTTTCTTACTCACTATGACTTCAGATAGCATTTTTCAAACCTCAACATATGGTCAGTCAAAATCTTTTTCATAATTAAATTCAATATTTTGGTGAATAAATTTCTTGAAGAAAATGACCTATTTAGAACTGCTGCCATACAAGGGAAATACAGTGTTTAGAAACTAGGCTTTTTTTTTTTTTTTTTCTTTTCTGAAACAGTTTTGAAAGGAAACAAAGGCCTTTTCTTACACTGTAGGTCAGCTGGTTTTCTGTGTACTGCATGCACATACAACTGTAGAAATGCAAATTTTAATGAGCTTGGTCCTGATACGTGGTACTGTGTGAATAAGATCAGGCCTTTCAGTTCTAAACCCTTTTTGTGTGTTTGTTTGCTTTCCCTTTAAAATTTTATTGAGAAAGTAGGCATAGCAGAGGTATGGGAACAGATGAACTTTAAGGTCCCTTCCAGCCTAAGACATGCTGTGACTCTATTTCTCCTACAAGTTGCTTTTTTGTTGTTGTTGTTTTGCTTGTTTAAAGTCCAAATGCTCCCAGCTTTTATCAATCAAGACGTAACAATGCAATTACATAGCTAAGATTGCGAGAATTGTTTTCTCTGTAGCATCTAAACATCTAGCTGTGCAAATCTCCCCCAAGCTAGCACTCTTTATTCTTGGTTCAGGGGGTCAGTGTACTACCAACGTGACAAGGGTTTTACAGTCTTTCACCTCTAGGTCAGCAGTCAGAGCTCTGCCAGGATCTGCCACGTGCTGTTCCCATTAAACAGCTCATTCCCTTCTGATTCACCATGCCAGGTGTCTGTACTGTGCAGTAGGTGCAATCATAATCAACAGCCTCAGTAGGCAGCAAAAAGCAGGGAAGTCTGCTCTCTCCTCATTTCAGACTTTGTCTGAAAGCAGAAGCATGGAAGGGATAAGTCAGCAGCTCTCAGAATCTCACTTCCCCAGAGTATCTGCTGCACTGTAGTAGGGGAATCAACTCATGCATTTATATTACTAAGAAATGTAAATATACCAAACGTGGAGTTTTCTTCATCTGTACAGACATAAATGCATATATATCAATAACACTTCAGGAGTACTGAAACACAAAATTTGAGGAAAATAACTTCATAATAGTGTAAATGGAAGCACCTTGAAAGTTTTTCTACCAAATGTAAAATCATAATGGCCTTGTCATGCTTCCTTTAAAGTAACAGCTTTTATTTTTAGTAATTTAACTTTGTCTGCTAGAACATGAAGTTTTTCTTAGAAATAAAATGGTAAGAATGATGAATTGCTAGGACATCTGTGGAAGTATTTTTTTTTTCCCCAAGAATAAACAGTTGTTTTAACTGCCATGTTCCAGTTTAATTTTGCTGTCTTAGTAAGTTATACAAAGACACTCTAAGCCTATTTTAACCAGACTAATCCCTCCAATACCAGCTGTATTCAAGACAAATGCCATGACCTACCAGTTTTCATACAGAACCTTAAGAGCAATTCTCAATGAGCTTTTTGAGCTACCCTGTTGATACGGTGAAGCTATATATGTATACCAGCATTTCAAGGCCCTTAGCTTGAAAATATGCTACAGAAGCAAGCAGAACTTAACCACAGCTTTGCATTACCAGGACCGTATAAGACTGATCAGTTGTTTTACATGATCCCTGCAACTTATTCTATGTCGCTGTTTTATTTCCTTCCTTGGTATAAAATCTGTGGTGTGAATTCACGGCCCACTGTGGTGCAGACATAAAATTGTACTTTTCCTGTATTCCGTGCAGTACCAAGAGCCACTCATGCATGAACACGTTGGAAAAACTGGCACAGCTATCCTGAGAAAGACAAACCTCTGCAACACTGATTTTGGTAACTGAGAATTTGTGGGGATATGGGATAAGCCATTAGGCAACATTTCTGTAAGTCACATACATGTAAACACATCTGCTATAAGCTTGCAGGGTTATTTTCAAAGTCCTTACACTACCTCCATGTTAGTCCACCTGCTCTGGAATAAACTGCCTATATTCAAGCCTCCGTTAGTCTGTAAGCACCAGGCTGTTGCGTGCAACTAATTCACAGCACTGAGCTAACAACAAAGGCACAGACTTCCTTTAACAAACCTGAGCACACAATCAGGTTGAAAAGTGGGAAAGGTCTGCAGCTCAGGCTTAGGGGCCTTGCAGGAACAGTCTTATCCTCAGAATGGAGCACAGCCTCCAGATTTTGTAATGCTGAGACTCTCATTTGCCCATTTCCTTCTCAACAACAGAGAGCAGGAACACTAGCTTCCACTCAGACAGCCAGATTTCTGTTTTGAAAGCTATAATGCCCAAGTTAGATATCTAACATAGATAATTGTTGCCATCAGATGTATACTGACATGCTTGACAGCCTAGGAACATGTTACATGATTTGATTAGCACTTGTAATACTCTGCCAGCCCTTAGCTGTATCAGCAGTGAGGAGGATGCTGGAGACAGTAGGGTGTGAAAGATGACAAGGCTTAGTAGGCTTCTCTAGCTTATCTTATATTCATCATTGCAGTTACGTAACCATGCATTATACAGAAATAGTATTACTGTTTGTACTTACTGAATTAACATGGAAAAGTATTTTCTTTTCAGAGAAAGTAGCTATTAAGATTTTGGACAAGACAAAATTAGACCAGAAGACTCAACGTTTGCTATCTCGTGAAATATCAAGCATGGAAAAACTCCACCACCCAAATATCATCAGGCTGTATGAAGTGGTGGAGACACTCTCAAAACTGCACCTGGTAATGGAGTATGCAGGAGGAGGGGAACTCTTCACTAAAATCACTACAGAAGGAAAGCTAATAGAAACAGAATGCAAAATAATCTTCTCCCAGATTGTTTCTGCTGTGAAGCACATGGTAAGTTGCTCTTCCACGGGCATGTTTCTCCTCACTGCTTCAGCTGATTTTGAGGATGCATTTTGTTTTTCCAATTAGTAAGTTTACTGTTATCAGGATTTCAGGCACATATCTTTGAACAGTGAAACCAGCTTGAGAAATACCATCTTAAAGACACCTAAGAGTGCTTTCACATCCATCTCAACTTACTGCCTCTCTGTTGACATGTTTGGGGAGGAGACTGAATTGAGAGCATGTGGTGAATGGAACCGTCCATTCAGTAACAGTGTTCCTCCTGACTACTTGTTTTTGTATGGATCCGATAGTAAAGCTTCATTTCATCCCTCAGCTGTTTCAAAAGAGCATCACTCACTTTTCTGCTAGAAGAAAGCAGTCCCAAGAAGAGGCGTGTTGTGTATTGCAGACATCCAGCTCACTTACTAACGAATGTGGAAGACTAATTAAGTCTTAAGACAGTTAATTCCTGTTCCTTCTTAAGTGATGTCAACACTTAGCAAGTCACTTCCTCTTATCTAGCCCTTATAACTGCAACTAGACTTAGAATGATGCAATTCATAGAACCCAAAGCATTCTATAAAGGCAGAAATGAGTAATTAACCACTTCCAATACAACCTCCTCTGAGTCTCGCTTAGTAACCACAGCTGCTTACAACTACATTACAAAAGCCATGAGAAGTCCGCTCTGCGTTTGACTTAACACTAGTTAAAGTTGGCCCAGAGTGCCCTCCGGTGGCTCATACTCTCCCGCCGTGTAACGGGCTCCAGCTCCAACAGGCAGGAAGATGCAAGCAAGTGTATTTCCAGGTCAGACATCTAGAAATGCATTGCAAACAACGTGTATGAAAAACATGTTAAAGTATTTTGACAGAACAATCAGATGTCTATAAATGAATTAGCTTCAACATCTTTTCCACAGGACAAGTATTCAGGATCTACTGGATCTTAAAGATCACGTGCATTTCTTAACATTAAAACCAGACCTCCAATCTCATCAGCCTCTTTACTCATACACTCAGTCTCCTGCAAAAATATTTTATTTTTGCCAATCTATTAAAATCGGGCCACTTATATCCCATCTCACTGTTGTCAGTCCTCATGAGGACTAAAGATCCTTGCTTGTTATTGATGACAGGGTTTCTCTAGTGTCTCCATGTGCATCCTCTTACTTACAAGGGTAACAGCAGAGATGCTCAAACTCTTTCACTCTTCCTAGTCATTTCAAAAATGAAATTAAACCCTTATTTAATCAGTATAGTTAAATGTCTACTCAGCAGAGCACATCAGTACCTTCATTTCTGAGGTTAAAAAAAAAGGTACATGTTGCAGCATTTCACTTCAGATTTCTAAAAGTAGAAGACAATATTGAACATCCTGCAAAGACATAAAATATCACCAGGCACAGCTTTGTGCACACCTCTTCTCTTGCCAGTACTAGATATTAGGATATGGATCACAAACTAGGACAGTTGCTACAGTTCTCTTATCTGGTACCACATTCACTTAATGTTATCAATGAACTAGAAGATTTCAGTTCATAAGTCTGCATGTTCAGAACAAATGCAAAAACAGCTTTACATACTTAAAAAAATATTTCTGTTACATCGGTACAGAAATGTAGTCATTTCAAAAACTAGTGCTCTGAATCCTGAAAAAATACAAAATACTTATCACGGGAAGATACACAGTCATGTAGGATTATCCATAATGCCATCGCATCTGCTTAACACAAATACTAATTCCTAACTAATATTAATGAATACTAACAAGATGTTGCTATCCTTCAAAACATACATGTATATGTATATGCATTTCCGCTCCTCCTCAGTCATTTTCTTACCAGTAGAGAATTAAGATGGACTTGCAACCTTCGGTTTCATAGCAAAGCTTATTTCTTTGTTGGAGATAAATAATTCCCTTTCCTAGGTATAATTAATCAATAAAAGATAAAGAGTAGTCACTTAAGTACTTGCTAATACCCAGTGTTCTTCCTCTTCTATAGCATGAGAATAATATCATTCATCGGGACTTGAAAGCAGAAAATGTTTTCTACAGCAGTAACACCTGCGTTAAGGTGGGAGACTTCGGATTCAGCACAATCAGTAAAAGAGATGAAACTTTAAATACTTTCTGTGGCTCTCCTCCTTATGCTGCCCCTGAACTCTTCCGAGATGAAAACTATGTTGGCATTTATGTAGATATCTGGGCACTAGGAATATTGTTATACTTCATGATTACGGGGATCATGCCGTTTCGGGCAGATACGGTGGCCAAACTGAAGAAGTGCATTCTTGAAGGGACGTACAGCTTGCCTCCCTGCCTCTCGGAAGCTTGCCAGAAATTGATAAAAGGAGTCCTTCAGCCAGTACCAACAGAACGATATTCTGTCAAACTTATTATGAACAGTGAGTGGATGCAGGGGATACAGTACCCAAAACCTTTACAGCCTTTTAAACTGGATCCTAAGTATTTATCAGAGATCAACACACTCAAAGAGGAGGAAATAGAAGTGAAAAATGCTCTGAAAGATCTGGGAATCACAGAAGAACACATTCAAAATAACCGGGGAAGAGATGCACGCAGCTCAATAACAGGTGTCTACAGAATTGTTTTGCACAAAGTACAAAGGAAAAGGGCCCTTGAATGCGTCCCTATAATGTCCCATCCAGATCCCAAGGAACAAGACATAAAGAAAGGAATCAGCTCTTGTAACGGTGTAAAGCACACATCCAAGCTGTGTTCTATTTTGTAAACCACACTGCAAGCTTTATACTCAGCACACTTAACAAAGGGTTTTATTCACTTTTCACAGGTTTTGGTGTTGCATTTTTTCTAATTTTTAAATAAACCAAATTGCCTCATTTCCTTTGTATTTTTCAGCTCACATTTGAAGTGCTCAAATGCAGAGCCCTAATGTACTTGTTTGTCTCTTGCTCCAGAAACATGGTACAACTAGTGCAATAACTCAAGTAAAACAGAAAGAAATTATCAGTGGAAGTGATCTTTTAATAAAGATCAAATGGCATTGCATGTAACACACTTCGGAGATCTCTCAGTACAGCCACATAATGGGTAACTTCTTGACAAGTTTCACCTTAGCTTGACACAACTACACCACTGCAAACGGGACAGTTTTTGCAAAGAACTAAGTTCAAACAAAAAACTGACTGCAAATTCTTAAAAGCATCCTAAGCAAATTAAACTTGCTAAATTAAAAACAAAAACAACTCTAATTACATTTTAATTAAAGAAAGAACAGTGCTGCTGTTGACTACGGTTCTTGATTTGTCACAGTCCAAAGGCAAATTCAGATATGCTACTGTAGCCCTGCATGTATGGTTGCAGTTTTTAGCACCTAACTGGCTGGGTTACAAACCATTAATCTCCTGACAGCTTCCACAATTTGTATGATTCTCACAGTCTCTAAATGCTTAGAATAGAGCTGCACTCCAATAGAGAGACAGATGTAAGCATACTCTTAAACTCTGAAATTCTTGCTTTAGCAGTAGATAGCTGTAAGTAAATTGAGGGTTGCCAATACCAAAATCTAGTTACAAGCTGTATTAGCCTTCTGTCATACTATTTGGGCAAGAAGGCTAGTAGCAAAACTGATTTTTATATTCTTGACCACTAGAAGTTAAAAGTTGGATACCGTGACAATTCCAATTTTTCTGACTGTCACCAAGATGTTGCCATGTCCCACTCCATCTTTCAGGTAATTTATACTTTAATCAACCAGCCCAAATGCAGTAATGGAAAAGTGCAGTAGCTTTCCTCTGAACAGGCACAACTGAAATGCCTATGATAAGGCAGAGTCTGAATGATTTTAGTTAAGGTGAGTACATTACTGAAAGGTTTAGAGATACATCTAGTGCTCTCAAATATAAAAGCAGAATGCCTTGTGTATTACAGGGATTGATGTTTCGTTGACCTTAAAAGCAGTGAGTAATGTCAATAAGCAACAGGATGACTTTGAAAAACCACTTGTGGGAAACGAGGTTCAACTAGACTCAGCTATGCAAAAAGCAGGAACCAATCCCCTTTCACAGTTTTTGTGAGGAGATAAAACAATACTACCTTTCAAAATACAGTAATGAGATTAATTTTATTTCATAGGCTGTTAATGAATTTCTCCACTATAAACAGATGCCACCTGAAAACACTTAAGTTATCTTGAAACAAAGCCTTGAAGTAATGATTTTCCACAAGCCTCAGCAACTCTTTCTTTCCATTTTTTTTTGTAATGAAATATTAAAGAGAACGATCCAGGAGATCCACAAAGACTGTGAACCCAGAACTTCAAGTTTTCATAAGGCCAGTTTCCTCTTTCTTGCCTGTTAAAGAAAAATTGCATCCTGAAAACCCAACAAGTCAGCACTACTCCAGCATGTTTCAAATATCTCAAACTTTATTTTAATAATGGATCTGCCTCACAGTGAGGTCCCTGTGGTTAACTTTTTGTGCCAGTAGCAGCTCAATTCTTGGCTTGTCCACTGCCAGCAATGGACTTTTGTTCCATGGCATTTTTATTTTCTGGTGCCAGGACAAGTTTCATGAGGGCAAACTAAATCAAAATACTTGCAAACACTATTTTCATGCATCACTGCTCCATCACTTTCAGCAGAACAAACAGATTATTATCCATCGAATTATAAACATCAATTTTATCAAGGCTTGACTGTACAAATACAGCAAGTTACCAAACCCTAGTAAGTGACAGATATTACAAACACACTGTTACACAACAAAAGATTGTGATTTAAACAGATGAATATTTGTTGCTACTTTATGAGATGCGTAGCTCTGTAGAATTAGCAAAGAAATAAAGTTTAACAAAACTTCATTCTATACATTAGCTCAATTAAATATATATTACAAGCTTACAAGGCTCATGTCATAGTTTATTTCTAATCTGGGCTTTAAAAAGCTACCAGAATATAATCCCCATAAGTAATATGTATCTACTACTTGCAAGACGGATAGCTTCTAGCGTGCATGTTCAGAAAAAAAAGAAAGAAAAGACACCACTTCTACGACATCCCCAATGGAGAGAAGAACTTCAAAGTACAATGCCAAATTCAAAGTTAGAAACTGTCTCTTAGAAATGTATTATACAAAGAATAGCAAGAGGTCAGAGTTCCAAGTTTGGGTCATCCAAACCGATCTTTTTTTCAGATTACCAATTAAAGCAACTCTAATGATATCTAGGAGCTTTACTTTAAAAGTCTGCTTCCTTAAATGTTTCTGTGACAGTTTAATAATCCTGAAAAAGTGCCGTATCAGTCAGTTCAAGAAATTTCTTATGAAGAACAACTGTTTGTCTCCCTTGTAATTGCTCTTTCCCTGCAGGCTTCTATGATTTATAACGCAGGCATAGAACACACAAAATGGATGGTAGGTGGAATTACGAAGTAACTAACGTAGTCAGTTACAGAGTTTCTTAACGGCGAAACTATCAGCCTTGTGTTCTTGAACCAGTCATTCTGATGGAGGGAAAGTAATTTTTTTCCAGTAATGTTATTTGGTTCTATACCTTTTCCAAAGCAACGGTGTGAGGAGAGGTAGACTGGGATAAGAAAGGGAAGGTAATAAAGGGAAAGAGAAGTGCAGTATTCAGAAGACTGACTAGTTACTGTCAAGGCACTGAGAACCCTAACATTAAAAGCTCAGACTTTTGCAAGTACAAGTAGAAGTTAACAGTGGAGGTTTCAAGTCATTTAACATGGGAAAAGCAAGCAGAAGATTCATTCTTTTCTATGTACAAAGACCTTGTAATAGACTACTACTACTCAGCAATTAAAAAATTTGGACACATTAAGGAATCCACAAAGCCCCTAGCAAGTTGCTCTATCCCCAGTATATTAATGATTTTAGTGTTCTGAAAATACTATAAATATCAGCACGCAGTATTACGACAAATCCTTTCAAGGAGTTTAAACAGCTTTTTCATGCTCCAATTAAGTACTACTGTATAGTGAAACTCCAGTACTACTGTAATCTTTCCACTCTTTCATCCTACCCTCACACCTTTTTCCATTTCCCACCTCACAGAGGTATCTTAATGCTCCCCATTGGAAATGGCAACAGTAACGCCTTCAGATTCTGTTGTTGCAGGGATTCTTGGCACTTTCTTAGCAGGGCTTGGGATGTGCTAAGAGGAAGGGAAAAAAAGCATTAAATACAGGTTTCTAGTTCACATACATTCACACTTCATGGCTAGTCCAACTTCCGAAAAACATTCATGCTATGCTGGATGGCTTGGTCTTAAGTCATTCAAATCAGTCATGGCTCATGCAAAAGAACGTGTGAAAAGAGTCTGCTTCTTCTTGTTTCATTCTTGTGCAGTTTCATTCATTCATGTTAGGATGAAATTTGCTTTTTAAAATCCCATGCTTGATTTTTTTTTTTTTTTTTTTTTTTTTTTTACATTTCTGGTTTCTATGTTACATATTTTAACAAAGCATTTGAAAGAACTTTTAAAACCCCTTCCTCTTTTAACACATGTACACATGCCGTGACAAACATACAAACCGTTCAACCATTTATATCAAACTTTAAAAGAGCACTCAGTGTTCACCTCATGAACAATGCCTGGGTGGACAACTTCAACTCCTGCCTCCAGGGGTCCATCAACCATAACTGGGCGCCGCGCGTATGTTCTTCTGTGTTTCTCATCCACACGCACAAGATACCATGTTCCCTCAAAGAGATCTTCTACTGAACACTGTGGAATATAGTTGGCTGTAAACAAAGAAAAAAAAAGGCCAATGATGTCCTGTCAGCTGGTTCCTGTTGAGCGTTTTATGCAACAGCGGCCATCAGGTGCTGCAGTTTGAAGTAAAAAAAAGCAGGAAAACCAAGTCTGCATTTTCACTGCAGTCACATGTCACATCAGGCCAATAAATACAAACTACTAAAAATACCTTTACAAGGTATACAGGTGTAGAAAAAGTTGGATGTCTACTTCATTCTACACCCAAAACATTTAGTGATAGCCATGCAAATTTTGTAGTAAGTATTTTGCTGTAGGATTAGTAACGTTTTATATTTACAACGTTCTTACCCAAGTGATGTGTCTCCTGTCTAATCTTCATGTTTTCAGCAAAGACATCAGGTGCAATGCATTTTCTTGAGTCAAGTCTTGCTTTAAGATCAGAAAGGCTGGCAGTAATTTTGTCCAGTGCAGAACCTACAACATAAAATTATAATGTAGGGTAGCACCAGTGCTAAGCACAGCACATCAGCACTGCATGACTGTTCAGGACATTTTCCATTATAGAAGCTGAACTTCTAGTTAGTTACAAGTATTCCTAACAGCTTGAGCAAAACTCTTGTAGCATCTGAAAATGCAATCTATTTGCTTAAGGAGATACTTTAAAGGTGATCCTGCTCTAGGGAATACTTTATATGACTGTAATTAAGCACTGTTCAACAGGTTTACTTAAGCTGATGGATAATACAACAAAGCAAACAAAGGTAAGCTATGCAAAGGAGTTAATTTACATCTCCTTTTACTCACCAGGAGTGGCATCCTGTGTAACTCTGATGGAATACAGTGTAGCAGCAAAACCAGAGCCATAGGAGAACACACTAATTCTTTGTCCTGCAAGGTGCTCTGGAGAGTATCTGTAAATCAAACAACAGTTGGTTAAAGTGAGAGTAAGGCCAAGGTGCAAGTTTTAAAATAACCAGAAAGTGCAGCTGACTTAGAAAAAGCTGCCAGCAGATTGTATCTGCTACAATAACAATTCAGGGTCTTACACGAATGAAAGAGGATTTCAACACCATGATTTTCAAATCTGCCTAAGCAAAAAAGATCAAAGAAATGCTCTGCATATGATTATCTACGAAGCAGACGATTTTTGCAAGTGACAAATACCCTAAAAGGAACATTCACACCTTGGAACGGAAAGTAACAAAAAGAGAAAAGAGGATACAAGACTACCGGTTTAGAAAATAATGCTGCATGCAAACTAAGTTTTCAATATTTAAAAACAACAAAAAAGCCATAACATGGTGCTGGGTTGTTTGGAGCAGTGTAGGAAGAAAGGCTAGTAGAAGGTATGGCACATTAAAATTTGAGATACAGCTTTGAAAAGCAGTAAGCAGTGCTTTTGATCAGCTTCTGACACAGAAATTTTGACTATACTTGTCACTTGAACTAATTGTGTTTGTAGAATAATTTTGTAACAGTTTTTCTAATTAAGGCAACCTAATAGGTAAACATTTGCTACATGTACTTTTACAGAGGGTTTTCCAAAAGAAAAATGCTTACATACAGAAAGCTATGACTTTGATTTTACAATTTTATGCTTACTGGGCTAGAAGAGAAGCAAGGCAACCGTAGACTGAAGGCGTGTACATGTTTCCATTCTGATTGGACACAAGTAAAGAAGCTTTGGTTTTCTGATTGAAGAGCTCTGCACTAGCTTTCATAAAAGCTTTTTCCACATCCCTGTCAAAATATGTATCTTCAAGCTTTACATCCCTATTTGGAAAAAAAAAAAAAAAAAAAAAAAAAAAGTGGTCAGAAACCATTATTAAAACAAACAACAGGAAGGAAAAACCATCTCTGATGTCTACCAAGTTAATACCATCTGAATAAAGAAGACAGCAGCCATTCTCACCTGAAAGCTTCCAGACCACTGAAAACACCATTTGCTGTTTCTGCATTCTGGTCACTGAGAAAGTCATTCAGCAATAACCTTGCCACAGACTTCTGTACCAGTTTACAGTAGGGAGAATGAAAGATCATGAATCCAAAATCATTCAAGGTGAAACGTCTGTCTGTCCCCTCTGGAAGTGGCAGGAAACTTGTGTTAGAAATTATTTTTTGTATTCATCTATTAAAATAAAATAGTTGGATGGCATGATCCAGACATCTCTATGTCAACATACAAAATGCAGAAGTCTAACTCCTGCTGGCAGGTTCATTTAAAATGCTGCCAAAACTTCTGTTTAAAATTCTAATTCTTATAGATCTCATGCACCAACTAACATTTGCCCTGTTAGAAGAAACAGCTATATGATTTACAAAACTCAGAACTTCCACCAAGCATTTTGAAAGTAAGAAATACTCTGCTTCATCTATCTAATCCCAAACCTATGCTGCTTAGCATGGGTGAAGCAACTACTAAACACATTTGAATAAAAACAAAAAATATAATTACTTAATATTTATATATTAGCATCAGAAATGTTAAGAGGGCTGGGTAAAATAACATGCTCTTAAGCAAGTATTACAACAACAAAAGCCTGCAGAGACTATCTTTATTGACTACTAAGCCCTCAAACATATCAGAACAGAAATAACAATTTCTTAAGGATGAAAAGCATGCATTCCAACCACTGCAGAACACACAAATGGACTATACTAGTCAGACAGAATGCTAAGACTCGAAGACATTATCTACATAACTGCAGTAACATCTTAAGAGGCGACGTACCTTTTTGCCACTGGGCATGGATCTTGTTGCGATAAACACTATAGCAGCGATCTAATGCACTGAGGTAGCACTGTATAGACAGTTTGCCATCAACTACAGGATATTCAGAGACCATATCTGGTTTATAGAAGTCATAAGCATGCTGCATGTGGGTTCCACGCAATCCTGACGGAGAGAATTTAACAAAGCCAAAAGTTACTTCATTAACCTTTGAGTCAGTTTGAATACATACTTTAACATGGAAAGCAAGTAATATCTGGCCCTAAATAAATAGGTTTTCTTAGGACTTCAGGTCCTTCTAGGTAATATTTCAGAAACAGATTTCAGTTACCTGGTACTCAAGCACAGTACAATTTGAGCATAACAAAAAGGTAACAAATAATTTCTTTTTGAAAACAGGGCGCTCTGTTACTCAGCTCTAGCCCATTCTTTGTCAATTTTAATCGGAGAATCTCCAAATTAAAAAATGGACAGAAGCACCTTTAATAGGTTCTTGCTGCTTCTTACATTAGGACTTGGCCAAGTGAGCAAAACCAAGAGGAAACAAATGCAGTTTCTGATGTTAACGGAGGTTAATCCAACCTTCAAACACCCCAGGAAAAAAAAAAAAAAAATGGACAAGCTTTAGAATGAACCTGGTATCTGGTGGAAAAGTGTTTATTTTCTCACAGGACTAACCTCTCTCAAAAATTAGAGGAGCATTTGGACCAACTAGCATAGCAACAGCACCAGCTCCACCTGTTGGCCTGGCATTTCCAGTGGCATACACGGCAATGTCTCCAGCAACAACAAGTGCATAGCGTCCTGTAAAAACACAGAAATAACAAAGACAAATAGCCATGAATCCATATTTTAACATCCAACAGTGATTTTTCAGCCTTTGGTTACTGAGGGTAAGACTCCAGGATTAAGGGTCTCTTGAATCCCTTCCTCCCTTTCACTTTATTGGCAGGAAAAGTGAAGGAAAACTTAGAGGAAAAGATGATTATCTAGTGATTATCCATATTGTTATCTCTTGTACATAATTAACTAGTGGCAAACATCCAGAACATTTAAGACTCTGATAGTTTGCCCTCCGGGTTTTATATGGTTAAGCAGACTACTCAATGGTAGAGAATGATGCAACTCCTAAAGAAAATACCCTGAACTTACCATCCCAAGAACTGGACTCAATCCAATTAATAGCATTAAAAAGAGCAGCAGTGCCTCCATAGCACGCATTGGTTGTGTCAATTCCTTCTACATCTGTATTACCAGATTCTTCAAACAGCTGCATCAGGACAGTCTTCACCGATTTTGATTTATCAATTATTGTCTCCGTTCCAACTTCCAGTCTCCCAATGCAGTCATAGGATAGGCTGTTCCTCTCCATAAGCTTCTGAACCACAGTCAAACAGAGGGAATTGATATCCTCTCGGTCAGAGCAGAAGCCCATCTTTGACTGGCCTAACCCAATGGTGTATTTGCCTGCATCCACACCGTCATACTTCTCCAGCTCTGTCTGGTCAACATACTGAGAGGGAAAATAGATTTCCAGTGCAACAATACCCACATCTTTGGGCCAGCAGGATTCAGTGTTCACTGGAAGAGACCCGGGCATCGTGGCAGATCTATAAGCAAAGAACAAACAAACAGCTCATTTACTCATATACATCATCACCAACATATTTTATATGCTCTATCCTTCTGCAGGTTTACAGAAAAGATAAAGTTTCAGGGTAAAGTTTCAGGTATTCTGCAAATTTGTTTGCCAAAGGCAAACCTCAGAGATTTTTGGTCTGAATATACCATAAATGTCATTATAAATCGTATAACATTTTATGTTAATAAGTTGTTTTGTTTTTTTTTTTTTTATTTATTATTATTATTATTATTTTTATTTCAGCACCAGAGCTTGATGTACTTTGCCACTGCCATTTCATGGAGCAAAATACATGATGAAAGCATTTCAGAAACATCAGTCTACACACATGCTATTCTATTCCTGTACATAGCTCTCAGTTTTACACAAAAAAGCTACGCTGATTTTTTATTATTTATTATTTTTAAACGTTGCTGACCGAGAACGAGCACACGCAGGAGAGGTGAGCCTTGGAACGGGACAGAACGGTTCCGAACTGCCTTTATTTTCATGCAGAGCGATTCGTTTCGCTCACGCGCCAGGCAGCCGGGTTTTGCTTTTGTTTTCCCCAGCGCCGCTCGGCAGTCGGGGGGGCGCCGCAGCCACCGGGCCTGAGCGGCGCTGACCCGCGCAGCGCCGGGCTCCGCCACGTCCCCGTAACGCAACAGATGAGCGCGGCGACCGTCCCAGGGAGCTCACCGCGCTCCTTCCAGCGCCGTGCTCAGCCCGTACCGGAACGCGGCCCCTCCACCCAGAAACTACCGCACAAGACGCGCGCCGCGACCGCCGCAGGGAAAGCACCGAAGGCGCGCTCCGGCAGTGCAGTGGGGACGCGCCGCCCGGAACCGTTCGCAGCCCGTCCGTCCGGACGCGGCGTCCTCAAGGTTACCGGGACCCGGGCGAGGGCAGAGGCCGCCGCCGGGCGGAGGGAGCCGCGCCCGCCCGCTCCGCTCTTCCCGCGTTCGGGCCGGGCCGGGCCGTGCCCTGCCGCGCCGCGCCCCGCTCCCCCCAAGCCGAGCGCTCCCCGCGGAGCCGCACAGCCCCGGTACCTACACGCTGCGGAAGCCCATGGCCGGCTGCCAGCGCGGGCGCATGCGCGGCTCCCGCCAGCCGGAGATGTGCGCACGCGCGGAGCTCCGACCGCGCGCCCCCTCCGATGCGCCGGGAGCGCGCCACGCGGGCACGGCGCGGCACCTGGGAGCCGGACCGAGGGCGGGGCCGCCCTCGGCTTTCAGCCGCCTTCTCGGGAGCCTTCCGAACGTGCGCTGCTCGGGAGGAGCAGAGCAGATGTACGCTGCGTGCTGCGGCCGGAGCTGCGAGGGCGGTGCAACCCCACTCCGTGAGCGGAGCTCACGCGGAGCCTGGGGATGCTCGGTGGCCGCCCAGGACCGCTCGCTGCACGGAGCCTTCGGAAGGTTGGATTTATCGGGCTTGAACGTAGCCGGAAAGCCGAATGACTGCTGTCTCCACTGCCTGCTTCCAGCACCCACATCTGCGCAGGCAGTGGTGAGGAGCCGCGAACAAACCGACACCTCAGACATGAGGTCTGTGCCGCCTGAGTGAGGCCGTACTGAGCCGCGTCCCCAGAGCCAGCAGGAGCCTGTGTGCTTCTGTGCTCCCTTTCAGCTGGATGGGACCTTCTCAGATCGTTGCGTCCAGCTGCCTGACCAGCTCGGCGCTCACCCCAGGTCACAGCACACCACTGAGCACTGCCCAAATGCCTCTTGAGCTTGCCCTTTGCAGACACTGGAGACAAGCAACAGCATTTAATCCCGTATCGTTTCTGCAGTTCTCTCATCCAAAGGCTTTTTACAGAAGAAAAAAACCAGAGGCAAGTGGTGCTGTGTCCTCACAGCAGCTCACCAAACACACCCGACAGAGCAACAGCCAGGGCTACCGGCTGTACCGCAGTGTGAACGCCTGGCTTGTACGCTCGCTCTGGGAAGAAAAGGCGTTCTCAGTCTAAGATGAACAAGGAGTAATGAGGCTGGTGAATGAAGCTATAACTTTCTGCTGGGGTACCCAGATACAGAAACGCATCTTCCCACTGCAGTTAGTGGTTTTCGTTGTCTTTATTAGTAGTTTTTTTTCCCCTATAATTTAGCGTTAGCATTTCCTGACAGCTTTTTAAAAGGCAGGAAACGCTCGGCTGAAAGTTATAAAACTCAAAAGCAAGCCTGCTCCCCATCAGCCCCGTACCTGGCAGCCCTATCCTCTCCTCGCCCCCCCGCCCCGGGCTCTGCCCCAGACGCGCCGCAGCCGGCGTACAGCGCCCGCCCCGGCTACGCCGACCCCAGCCCGGCCCCGCTGAGGGACCGCCGCGCTGCCCAGCGGTTCTCACCTGCACAAGGCGATGGCTCCGGCTCCGCTATCGCTGGGCGCGCTCGCACACACACACCCACAAGAGGACAAGCAGACACAGGCAGCCGGCACGCGGCGCCTTTAAACTGCCCCGCCGTCCGGGCTCCCGCCCACGACCTGAGCGGCTGCTCCTTCGACCAATCACGGCTGCCGACGCATAGGTCCCGCCCTCCGGCCGCCAGGCGGCCGCAAGAGAAGGCGGGGGGAATGGTGTGAGAAAGTGACGCGGCGTGGCCAGAGGGCAGCACGCCAATGAGAACGCGGCAGAGGCAGCGGGCGCTCAATGGGAGCCGAGCGCAGCGCGCGGACAGCCAATGAGAGCGCGCTGCCGACCGCGGGTGAGAGTAGGACGGCTGCCGGTCCCCGGCGAGGCGAGGAGCCTGTTGCCTGGCAACGGGGCGAGGCCCGCCGGGCCCGGCGAGAGCGGCTCGCCCGCTCGTGTCGCGTCGTGTCGCGCTTGTCGCTTGTGTCACTTGTGTCACCTGGGCCTGGCCCCGTGAGGCGGGAGCCGCAGAAAGGCCGCGAAGCTGGGTCTGGGGGCGGCCCCGGGCCGGCACGCCGCACCCCGGTTCGGGAGCGTGGAGAGTGCCGAGCCGCCCCTGAGGCGGCGGTCGCAGCCGGCCGGTGCGCGGGGCCGCGCGGGGGCATTGCTGCCCCTCGCTGCGCAAGTCCCCGCAGGCCTCCTCCCTGCCGGCTCTGCGAGTACGAGTGTTGCAAATGGGAAATGGCTCGATAAAAGTCGCATACCGATTTTAAGACCTGGACACGCTGGTTGTAAAACACCGAGGGAGTACACTCCCTTGGCAGCTGGTGATTGCTGCAACGAGCAGAAGGCAGTACCTGGCTCTCCTGACACATCGCATCACCCAGCCCAGTGATTTCTGCCATCACACGGGCAGGTGGAAACTATGTGAAAGCACGGGGAAAGATCCCATGGAGAGCCTTAGCACCTGTCTTGTTTCTTTGGGTCTTGTAACTGTTCTGTAATCATCATGTAGAAACAGAAATTTGTCACAAATCTTCACAGTGCAAGAATTGAGAAATACTACCGAGAAACTGAGTTTTGTTTGCACTTGTTACTCTGCAGATTTCTGACAAACTTGCGTCAGTTGGTGTACAGTCCAGTACCATCTGCAAACCTGAAAGAACACAGTGACAAAATGCAAACTTGATGGGCCATGATGTAATTATGTCATATGAATACACTGTACTTTCCATGCCCATAGACCAAACAGAAGTAGTGTCAGAAAGTTCAGTGTTTCCTTGTTCAAAATGGGTTGCTAATGCCAGCCTATCATGTACCTCAGCGGCAGAATGTTTCCTCGCATGGTTCTTTGGAGCCATGGAGCAAGACATAGTGTTGAATTGGCAAGATTGTACGTCAGGACTGCAAGCACACCCAGGGGCTTTGCAAACCTTCCCCACCACCTTAGTTTAGCTGTCTGTGCAAGGCTGGCTCCAACAGCTCGTACCCTTGTAAGGGACTGCCAAGAGAAGAGGTATGTGGCAGGGAGCTGTGAGAAGCCTTCTTACTCACCTTTCCCCTTCATTCCAGAGCTGCTACATCCCTTACTGCTTCTGACCCCTTGGCTTGACTTCTGAGCTGGCCCTTAAACCCACCCCACCACAGCAGACTCATCTGGAAATCTGGACTCCTGGCTGACCCACCTGCTGCCACTGGCTCTGCCCCGCTCTTCTGTTTGGGTGCTATGATAGCGTGCCTTTGCCAGCAAGGCCAGTGCCCCACTCTCCTTGTTACACTCAGCTCCTGGCCCTTCTGCCCTTTAAGGGCAGCCTTTCTGCACTGCTTCCTGAGAGCTTAACTGTGCTTGCCTGCAAGCTTGTTGTTGCTTGGGTTTTTTTTTTAGTTATCATTTTTTATTTGATAAAATTGTTGATAAATTGTTTTTGTGTGTTGTCAACAACATATGCAGATGTAAATAGCAATCTTGTGAATTTTATTAAATCTATACATATCTAATCAAGAAAAAGTGCCAAAATGACTGCATAGTTTGTTTAGATAATCCGTATTACTGCCTTCTTTTCCATGATGCAGGATTATGAATGACTTTCCACCATCTTTTGTATTTACTTTCCATGTTGTAGAAGATAGAATGACGTAGACATGCACAACGTCATTACTATTGATCTAAAAGAATGTATTTGCAGCAAAAATAAAAAGATCAGCTACCTGAAGCCAACAGAATTATAACCATGTTCTCCTACTGTGACTGTAGAAAAGCACATTTCAAGATTACACCTTACAAACAATAAGAGAAAGCCAGTTGCTGGATTTTCAGAATTTTAAAACAGAATCTGTAGATGTAATTCAGTCCTACTTTTAAAAATAATTTTAAAAAAGTTAAATTCAGGGACCATGTTTAATCTATACTGGTAAAAGCAATGTATTTGTCTCCTAAGGATGTTTCTGGATCAAAGTGCAGATTTAAATTTACATCAAGTTCAGATGACCTCCTCTTGCAGACTGGTTTGATGACTAACTTAGTAGCTTTTGGCAGCATTTAATAGCCTAAGGTTTATTACTACTTCTAATTTAATCAGTACGATTTCTTCTATAACTGTTGTCAATAGTATTATTCTTTTTCTTCAGCTTTACGAGGCTTCAGATCTGATTATCCTATCATTGGGTGTATGTATGGTAATTCTTATAAAACACTGCTATTATCTCTGCAAGAAAGGATCTGCTCTTGCAGTGGAATTGGCTACAGTCATTTTATATGGATTTCTCAAAGAGATTGCAGTAAGAATAGTAAAATTGTTGGTGGAACTTGTTCTAGATCTCTTAGGTAATTAATTATACTCATCTACCAATTTATTCTCCAGACATGTGATTGCCACCGTTTTCACCCCTGCTGGTGAGAATGCAAGTCATTCTCCTTTTATGACCGAAGAAACAGTGATATTTTCAATAGAGACTGTAATAGAGACTGCTTTGGTATGTTCGGACTAACACGCCAGAATGAATGCTGCACATTGTCATAGTAGCCACAGAATGGGAAACCTAACAAACGAGGAGTCATTTAGTAAAGATGCTATATTACCAAAGAAACCTACAATAACTCAGAAGAACCATGTAGCAGCAACATGCAAGGATGTTGGCAGGGAGAGGACAAACGCTTCCTTTTCCTCCCATTCATCATTCGAGTGTATTTTGACAGGAGTTTGGAGTTGAGTCTCTCTTACCATTTTTCACTTATGCAGAAGTAGGACTTCCCAAAGAAGGAAGCATGTGTGCTCTCTGATGATTCTCCTCCTGGTTTTAAGTCAGTGTATCAAATTTAGGGTTCTGGTTTTGTCTCAAAAGCTGTCTCCCAACAACTTCTTTACTTCTATTACTTCTGGAAATTCTTAGGCAGTCATTCCTGTGGTAGCTTTTTTTCTTAAGCTTCCTAGAGACAGCCTATTATGTTAGTTTAATTACTTAAAAGAAATGAACAGCCAGATACTAAGGATGTTTCTTAAAACTTGGAATTTCCAAGAATATTAAATGAATCATAAGCCCATTTTGAATGGAATTCAATGGAAACCAGACTTCTAAGTCACTAAAATATTCAGTGCATTCAGAAGCAACTGGCTGCATCTTTGGGTACCTGAATTAATTGAAAAGATAGCTTAAACTAGCATTTTTGGGAAGACAAAGTCATGTGTTGTAGTGACATGTTCTGCAAAACACAACGTTGAGATGACTTTACTGGAAAAAAAAAAATTGATTTTATTTTGTTGCCAAGTACAAAATAGCAAAGGTCAAAAATAACACTCAGGTACAGAGGGTGTGACATCTCCTAACTGAAGGTTTGCTAGCTGGATGGTTCTTTGTCATATTTGTGTGTCAGGGTTCAGGAATAAACCTACTCTACCAGAGAGTGGATCTTTAAAGTGTTGCCTTGATATTTTATATACCAATGTTATGGAAAGCTTTTTACATTGAATGATTTGTAGAAATTATTCCTAATTTCAGTTTCCAAAAGAATGCAAAGGAACGCAGCCAAAATACACTTGTCAGCTTGGAGATGACTTCTACCTTCTCGTAATCTCTCTATTTGATCTAAAGTATCCATAAGAACCTTATATGAGATAATGAACACTCCAAAGAACTGAAAGATATAAACAAAACTATCAAAGTCTGTCTTTTAAAGTAGCTTGATAAAGGCAAGAATTGTAATTGCATTTAAGTTGCATATCTCTCTGGGTCTTAAAATATCTGTGGCACTGCAGCAATTTCAGTTATCAAAAACTACAGAACTACAGTTATATCCCAATTTGCTGTTTTTCTGAATATGCTGAATATCTATGATAGAACAGTCACAGAAATTAGAGTACAGACAGTACTTTAGTCCATACTTAGGTAAAGCCCACATGCACTAAAACCACTGGTTGTGTTGATGGAAAGAATATGAGGAGCTGAGACATCGTCATCAGCCCTCCTGGAAATCTGTTACTCAAGAAAGAAGAATGAAGGTAAAATTTGGAATCATTAGAGCACGAGGAAGAAAAGAAATTGACAAAACAGTGTAATATGTTTGCAGCAATTTAGTATTCATGACAGTCTGCTGACCTGGCCCCATTAGTTTTGGACTCTAATACACATGTGCTGTGTACATATGACATGCACTTAGAGCAGCATCAGGATAGAAATGAAATGGCTAACTCAAGCATCATTTCAGTTTGTATCATCCAGGCCACCCCATCGTGCAGCACAAGGCAGTGGGGATGAAGAACTCCTGTGTATGATCAGAATGTTCTCCTACTCCTGGCAGCAGGGTGGAGCTGTGCCAGTACACAGTATTCCCCAGAAACTGAAAGAAGAGTTGCCTCATCTCTGTTAGGACACTGTTGGCTCATCAGAGATTATAATTATACTTCTTGTTGTCTTTTATCTGTTTTGGAAAGAGTTCCTTTCATCAGATATGTATCTGTGGACATATGCTATTCATTCTCTAGTAACCTTGATATAGATGTTCATCTTTACTTTAGAGGATTTACAGATTGTTCTATCTACTGTCATTTGCCAAGCATTCTCCCATGTTTGCAGTATGAAGTTAGACATAAAATGAAAAAAAACAAATACTAGAGATAACTCTGAGGAACTAATTTCTCAAATGCAGTAAAGAGGGAATGAAATGAACAAAAGCAATAGGGATTATCTTTACTGCATTGCTTTGGATAGTGTTTCCAGTGATAACAATGGATGAGAGCAGGAAGTGTTTGGAATAGGCAAAGAACGTGTAGGCCATCATAGAGTAGTATCTGGAAAGGTATCTGTAAGACTAGTTAAGAAAAAAAATCATAGTTAATGACTGAAAGAGTAGAAACAAAAGAGGCAACAGCACAAAGGTATTGCAGAAAAAAAAAGATGCCAGTAGGGACAAAAAAGGAGCTTAGATGAATGGAGCACTGAGAAGGAATATTGGCACATCAAGTAAAAATCAAGGGAGGTAGCAATGAAAACAGAGTTGGAGAGGGGAGGATTTAAGTGCATCCATAGATTTGGAGGGACAGCAGAGCACTTGCTACAAGACACTTTCAGGAACACCATTTTGCTGTTTTGTTTGTAGTTGGCCCAACATTATTCTTGTTTACAGGTGATGGTTCGTCTAGCACATAGATATTTGAAAGGTCATTTTAATGGTGTAATCATCCATCCTTGATGCAGTCTGGTAACTTTGTTCACAGTTCTGTATGCCACAGGTACCTTCATTATGGGGCTTGCTTCTTGTTACTGTTTATTCTCTTCTTTTTTTCAATGTTTTGGTTCTTCTCTGTTTTCTTCCATGATGTCTTTTTCTGGGGATCTTGTGTTTATTCTTCTTCATCCATTTTTTAAGTCTTTTAATCCGTGGACTTACACAGAACTTTCTGCCTTCTATATGGAGGCTGACAGAGCAAAAATCAGTTAGAGGAAAAGCGTAAACAAAACAAAACAACAAAAATCTATTATACTTATCATTCAAATATAAAAGCATCATCAAAATGCTTAATCTTATCATCACTTTGGTTCTGTCTGGTGTCAGATACAGTAAATGTTGGTATCTAAGGTTTTCATAATTATAGTATCTTTCAAAATCTTAAAAAAGAATGTTCCCATTTCAGTGGCTCTGAAGAGAACCACAGTGCAAACCAGTACATTTTCATTTCCAAAAAATAAGTAGAAGACTTTACTATTACTACTGTGATGATTATCCAGCAAATGTAAATGTCTAGAAATAAATATGTCCAGGCTGTGTTTCAAATTTATCATTTTTACATAAACACTGTGATACTGTACTAGCAAAAAAAAAAGTAAATTAATTATAAACAGCTTATGTGTAAATCTGAGGTAATTAATATAATCAAGAATTGGAAAAATAAAATGGAGAATGAAAATGCACAGTTCTTTTTCAGTTCTAAAAGTAAAGCAAGTGTCAAAGTTATTACAGACTGAATAGTAATATTATTGTTGAAATGGAAATTGAATGTTAGCAGTCTTGAATTCAAATAGCACAAGGGCGGGCAAATCTTAAACCACTCACAATCTTGTTTTTCATTAAATTTTTGCTATCCATCAAAGATTCTGCTGGTTTTGATGATGTCTAATAGCTTTAACTTCATAGTACCCCTTTCACAGTGAAGCACACAAAGCAACTCTTACATAACAGCATGTAGGTGGCACAGGCCATCATGTTTCTGGACTTCAAATCTCTCCACTCTTCGGAGAATTCCTTTAGGAATTTCTTCTGAGATTTTCGTGCAACAGTTGAAGGCCTCAGGAAATAAAGCTAGAAAGTAATAACAAAGTTAGAAATTGCATAGATATGAAGGGACAACTCATAGCTGGACTGTATCACAGAATAGTTGAAGTTGTAAGGGATCTCTTGAGGTCATCTAGCCCAACTTCCCTGCTCAAGCAGCAACAACTAAGGCAAATTGCCCAGGACTGTACCCAGTTGTTTTGAGTATCTCCACAGGTAGGAGACTCCACAGTTTCTCTGAAAACCTGTTCCAGTCTTTGACTGTCCTCACAGTGATAAAATGATTTATTTTGTTCAGATTGAATTTCATGTGTTTTAATTTGTAACCATCGCCTCTTGTTCTGACTTGGAAAAACTTGGCTCCTTTGCCTTCTTTCCCTCTCGTCAGGCATTCATGCACACTGCTGAGATCCTCCTTTCAGAAATACTTTCCTGGAAGATTTTTTCCATCCCTTTCCGAGGGACTGAGGTGACTTTGACCAGCCTGTAATTCCTTGGATCATCATTCTTGACCTTCTTGAAGAAAGGAAAGATATTTTCTCTCTTCCAGTGTTCAAGAACTTCTCCTAGTCATTATGACTGTTCAAAGACAATCGACAGTGGCCTTGCACTGCTATCAGCCAGCTCCCTCAGCACTCACCAGTGACGCACCCTGTCAGTCCACAAGGCCTCACGTCCGTTTGTTTTAAGTGGGCTCTCTAGCCTGATATTCCTCCACTGAGGATAACTCTTCAGTACTCCTGTGTTTCCCTCTGGTTGCAGAGGCCTGGATTTCTGAAGGCCAGTTCGATCATAAAAAATGAGGAAAAGAAGGTACGGAGTATCTTGGTCTTTTCCATGTCATTTAACATCTACAGCCCTGCCCTCATTCAGTAGTAGGCCCATGTTTTCCTTTATCTTCATTTTGCTATTTAAGTACTTTTGAATTCTTTCTTGTTGCATGTTATAACCCTTGTTAGAGTTAGACCCAGGCCAGCACTGGTCTTTGGTCCCTATTCCTGCATGATTCTCTTCTCTTTCCTCATCATTTGCCCCTGCTTCCTCCCCTTGTACACATCCTTTTCATACCTGTGCTCCTTTACACTGTGCTCATCCTTATAGGCCTCTGCTTGGCTTTTGGTTTATTGGGATGGACCTTCTTTTAGCCTGGAAGGGGTGATTCTTGAATATCAGTCAGCTCACCTCAACCACTTTTCTCTCTCAGATCATGTTCTGTGGGATTCTTTCAAGGAGGTCTCTGTAGAAGAGGATATCTCATCTCCTGAAATCTAGGAGTATGGTTCTTCTTCTTGTCTCCTCCTCTCCTCCTAGTATTCTGAACCTTACCATCTCATATCAGAGCAGTCTGCCTCCAGTTTTTCTGTCTTTGGTGAGTTCTTTTTTTTTTGTAAATACCTGGTATAGCTGAGTTCCTTGGAAATTGTCATCAATGCACTCAGATTACACTGATTTCTTATAGGTGAGCACCTCTGTCTTGTCTTTCCGGCAGGTATCAGGAATGGTTAAAGACCTCCATCTAGAAAAGGGCCTGTGAACCTGAGGCTTTTTCCAGTTGTTTGAAGAAGACCTCATCTACTTCTTGCTGACTGGGAGGTCTACAACAGGTATTCACTACCGTGTCACCCATGTTGGCCTCCCACTAATCCAAAGCTTAAGCTCTCTGTTGGCTTATCATCTATTCTTAGACAGAGCTCTGCGCATTCCTGCTGCTCTCTCACAGGAAGAGCAACTCCTCCTCCCTACTTTCTGGGAATGGAAGATCACTGACACATGAAGTTTTCGGGAATGTAGCTTAAAAGCTCTGCCTTGTAAAGTGGAATCATCCCCATTATCTTATGTCTTAGAAATTATTAATGCTGTTACTGGCTTTTTGTTTATTTCTCCACCCCTTCAGCCCCTCCAGGACTTGTGGGTTCATGACTGAATGCGTCTCTGCTAGAGAGTGATTTGCAGTTTTCCTGCTTTATAAATACCACTGTAAAAAAAATAATTTCCAAGTCACATCCATAACTCGAGAATCTTTGGTGGCAAGTAGTAATGTTTTGGTGTTTGATTTTTTTTTCTGCACTAGGGATTTATCTAGGTTGTGATAGTCTTGTGATCAAACCCATGCTTCAAGGTGAGCACAAGGACTTCTCTGTCCCAGTCAACGAATCAACAGTGTGGGTGCAGTGGGGAGTTGGAATTTTTTTTTCTTGGCCTGTAAATCATGCTGTTCTTAAGTAACCATTTACCATTGGAGTGCAAGAGTGATGGAGCAAGGCAAGAATAAGCAGGAAAATATATTTTGAGTTGTTCCTGTAAGCAGGAGATTAAAAATCTCCTCAAAACATTTCTTGTAATAAAGAAGATTGTATGCACTGGTTCTTATAGAACTCTGGATGAGAGTTGGGATAAGAGAAGATGCCAGCAGAGGCACAACACTGGGCTGGAGCAGCTGGCAGTGTAGCAGGAGTCACCAAAGACCAGCCATGCTATGTGCCACAGCTTTCAGGAGGTTTTGTACCCGGTGTGGTAGATGACAGCCCAGGGAGTCACAGAGGAGAGTGAAGCAGTTGCCTTTTCAGCAACCTGCAGAGAAGGACTATACATAATCATGTGGTACAGAAGAATGAATTAAATTTTGTGTTACCTCTATTATTTCCCTGATGTCCCTTTCTCTTCTCGCTTTAACAGCACACTGTGTGTGTAGCCAATTAATTTGTATTTGCAGATGGAAATTCAGTTCACTGAACACCACCACATTTAAATTTTTTGTGGGTGATTGAGGTGTGAACATTTGTTGTTGCCAGTGCTTGCAAAAGGGTTATAGGAAAAAAGCTCAGGAAAGGATAATTGTATCCTGAACACTCTCTGAGCTCTACTCTGCTTCTGTGGGGTCTGGCAAATTGAGTCCCTCTGCAAGGCCAGCACTGACAGCTGCTTACAGTGTGTGGGGCACTACGGAAGGTCTGAGGGTGAGCCAGCTATCTCCTGGCCTCATGTTCAGCTGTTTTCTCTGCTTCATGGCCATCATCTCTTGTCCACATTTGTATACTTTGTGTACTTAGAAGTATCACTTGTTTTGTTCCACAGATCTGGACTGTATTGCACTGGCCTTTGCACACTGTGTAACTGAAAATTAAGAAATTATTTTTATATTAATTTAAATCTATATTAGTTTTATTATATTAATTTTATATCTATGTAAACTCGTGTGAAAAAAATTAAAGCAAAGTTCTTGATGTCTTCAGATGAGCTTGTGAATATCTCCCTGTCCATGACATCACCCTTTTACAAGACACTTGAAAACTGCAGAAAGGTGTTTGTATTGCATCTTTAACAATCACTTATGTAACCAGAGTAGCAATTTTAGAATGAACTCAATTACCCGATGCTCAGTCAATCTTTGAACTGGAGCATTAAATCCCTCCAACTAATGCAACTATGCCAAAAAACCTGTGCCTTTAAATGTGAAAGCACACAACAAACTGCATGTGAAGCTGATGAATACATCACCAGGAAGCAGAATGAAATTGTTTTGTAAAATATGAATGAGGGAGTGCTTATGTCCACCTCTCACAGAGGCTAAGAACGTGTCAGTTAACTTTCTGTGGAGGTATGTGCTTAGGATTTGTATGGGTGCTTGCCTTGAGAAATTCCAGTTTGCACTAACTTGTTTTTTTGACTGAAAAATAAGATTTACTTTTAAATAAAATATTATATATTTATTGTTGTTGTTCTGTGGATGATCTGCAGTTACAATATGCCAAATAGACACTAAGTATCCATCTCTGAATTGCAGATAAATACACATTATCAGAGCTTTTCCATCAGACATGTAAACGTCATCTGCAATCTTGTGCTGGCAGAGACACGATGACTTTGAAAATGAGTCATTCTGAATCAGGGTACGTTTACCTTCTGCTAAACAGGAAGAACGCTCAGGGCAGCGGCTCAGGGAATTCCCCTGCACCCCAGAAGCAGGGACATCCTCTCCTGCAGTGCTGGCTGCACTACAGCTCCGCTGCCTGGTCCATTATTACTATAACTGTGCTCTGAACCTGTAAGTGGGTGGGAATGAGGTGATAATAAATAAAGCTAATGAATTCAGCCCAACACAATACCGGAAATATGTGTGGGCATTAGCAATTAGATCAGGCTTGTTAGCTGGTCTTCACAGTGGTTAGAAGCAAAGAACTGCAGTTTTCCACCTGGAAGCTGGCCTGGCCTTTTATTTGCCCTTCCAACTCCATAGAGATTTTTCCCAGTGCTGCCCATTTCACTTGTCTCTGTGCCTAGGCAACACAATCAGAAATCCACAGCTGCTTACCAGAACTGTATAGACCTGCTATCTGGTATAGAGCCTTCTTACTCAGACATCTAAAGGAGCTTTCTGTGTTGCTGGATGGCAAGACCAAGATTAGTGATGAATCTTGAGACAGGTCCGTGCAGGGATCGCTCTGCTGCTATTCAGCAGCTTTGGTGTTTGTTCCTCAGCAACACTCACCAGGAAAAAAAATTATTGCTTTTAAAATATTTTGTTTCCTATTTTCAGCAGCATCTCAATCCTTTGATCTTGCAGAAATGTCCACTGGAGCGAGTTAAGCACCACAACTGAGGGCAAGCACAAGTAACTGGAAAAAACACCTTCGCTCACCCCAGTTTCTCTCTTAAAGATGCCTAGGTATGATGTCCTTTTCGGATGGGTACTCTGTCACTGTGCCTTATGGCATACATTATCACTCATCTTTACATTATACTGGATTTATTTAATATGCTGTGTATAGCTTTTCCGATTTCAGATGAAGTGGAAAAAAAGGAAAGCTTTGCCTTTCGAGTGAAAATAAAGTGTTTAGAACCTTTGAATAGAGGAAAAAAAAACACCTTGATTTTTCCTTAAAATAAAAAAGAAAATAAGAGAGAAAATGTCTGAAATTCTGAATTACTTTGAAAAAGTCCTTGCTTTTCAGAGAATGCAGCATGAAAACTTAATTTCAGCTTTCCACAGTGGTCTGTTTTCTTTCAAGCCTATCAGACTTGGTAGCACTATAGTTACTTTCTTAAGGCTGAAAGGATCAAAAGCAGTTGGCAACTACAGATGACTGCTTTCACCTGCTCTTTTAGAGAAGTGTTTCTCCTAAATGGAAGAGATCCTCAAAGTCTGTGATATTCAGTGGGTTTTAACTGAATTGCTGTTGATTGCTAGAGAATGAACCACAGAGAATATGATGGTGGCTTTGATGGAACAAGACCTTCGTTTTATCTGTCTTTACACTTCTGTTCATCAGTATCAAGTCTCTTTGCTGAAGCTTCCTTCCTTCCTTCCTTTCTTCTGTCCCTCCTTCCCTCCCATTTATGGAAGATGCCTGATGAAAAGCCCTCTTACTAATCCTGTAGGGGTAGCAAATGGTTATTCTGCTGGCCCCTGGCTGTAGCTTTTTTAGGCAAATAGATAGAGTTAGATTAATATTTCAAAGTGTGTAGACACTGTGAAGGAGAGACATAGCAGTCATTGTCTCAAATAGACTTGTCCTGCAGAACACAGCAGAACATGTATTTGCCATATAATTTAGCTGAGGGGAATCAGCTGGAGAAAAAAAAAAAGAGAGGAAACCAGCTGGAAATAGTGATGGAGTCAGTACATTCCCCAACCCTGTACTTTGTCGCAAATTTGCTTGATTTCACTTTTGCTTCCTTTGATCAAGTACAACAGGAAAATGAAAGGGCTGTAGGTGGGAACAGTAAGAAAATAATTTCTGGTCTCTGCTCCTGTATCCAACCTACCCACTTTAGACCTTTTGCAACTCTCCTCCTGGTAGGTCTCATGCCAGCAGTTAGTATTTTGACCAAGCCTTTGTTCAGCCCTGAATCCTGCTGGCAGCATGGATGAGCCCACCAGTGCTGCTGGCAGAGCCCTTGATTGTGAGCTGTGCAGTAACCCATGGGCTGCTGAGTGAGAAGACATGTGAAGATTTTCTCCTGTGTAACTAAACAGAAGGTAGGTAGTTCTTAAATTTAGGAGTGGACTAAAAGAGTGCAGCAAAGATACATATAGGTATTAAGCAGCATGGATTCTTTCAGCATACCATGTGGTCAGACAGATAGCTTGTCTTGCATGGCGAAATCCATAAACCTGGGGCACTTTCTGTATCTATGCTGAATCTGCTGCTAATATGCCTCAAATTTGTTGTGAATTGATGTAGCTTTGCATTGATTGCACAATTCCTGGAATTATTAGTAGCAGTCATTAGTGTATCCTAAGGGAATTCTTTTGTGGTTGCAAAGTAGGCTTTATATATCCACAAAACAAACAAACAAACAAACAAACAAACAAACAAAAAAGAACAACTACAAAACAAACAAACAAAAAAAAACACACAAAAAACAAAACAAAAAAAAAACAAAAAAAAACCCCTCACACTGATTATCTGGATTAAAGCCTTGCTTAGTCAGAGCATGATAGGTATGAGAATGCTCTAGTGCCTGTAAAGACATTTCTGTAGGTCACTTCATAAATTCACATAATCATTAAGGTTGGAAAAGACCTTTAAAATCATCCAGTCCAACCATCAACCCATCAACCGTTGCCCACTAAACCATGTCCCTAAGTGCCGCATCTACATTTCCTGAACACCTCCAGACCCCTTACCACTGCCACAGGGATACTACTCATGTGATAGTTTGCTTCCCCGCTTCTTTCTTTCTCCCAACCTCCTCCTTCAGCCTGGCCTTGTGCACAAGGTCTTTCACAGGAAGACAACAAGCAACAGTAGCGATAACACTCTATAAAACAGATTAACAACCACAAATCTGTCTAAAACTGGAGAACTGAAAGAAGGGATAGAATACACCCAGTTCAACAGCTGAATGCCTATCGAGCATGCACCTAAAAACAAAGTATGAATATTAGTCAGTCATCCTACCCATCAACTACTGAGAAGCCCAAGAGCTCCTTGAGCTCTTCTGCATGGCATTGGGCTGCATGACAGGATCTCTCCTCAAGCAGGGACACATCTCAGTGTTAACGCATGAGGGCTGGCAGTGAGAGTGGTGCACTCAGGGCAAGGAGGCTACTAATGTATGCCATCCTGATCTCTGTGCTGGCTGACTGCTTCCTCATGCTCCTGCTCCAGCTCCTACTCTTCTGCAGGAAGATGCTGGAGACCCCTGGCATGGCCAGAATTGATGACAGCCTCTTTCATACTCACATCACATCCACACATAGTACTATAGTAATACCATCCATACAGTACTATTTCCATGGCACCAAGCCAGCCACCAAAGCTGGTCCTGGGAATACAATAACAGCTTCAATTTGGCCATCAAATTGGACCTGGTCCTGGTGTAAGTCAAGGTTTAACCAAAGGTAAGGCAGATCTTTTAGTGCTTGTTTGTTCATGAAGCTACCAGAAAAAGTTTCCCTCATCTCAAGCAAACGTTGGGCTGTTTCAAGAGTTCAGTACCTCAAATAAGGTCTTTTCAGCTTAACCCAAAGCACATCAGTACCTCCTTTGCTATGGAGATGGCTCTGATCCTGGCTGACAGGTGAACAAGACAGGATGTTAGAACCCTTGGCAAACGTAGCATTGTCCTCTGTGAAAATGTGGAGGTTGCTTAACAGCTGGAAGTGAGATAAAATATGCTTTAACATACCCTTATTCTATTCTGACAGCACAGGAATGCACAAAGATAACTCACACAACTGCAAACAAGACAAGGAAGAGGGAAAGCAGAATCTTTAAAATGTAATTAAATTACATTAATAAAATAAAAATTTTGCCACAATCCTAATAAAAGTCCTGCCACAATTCTACAAAAGAATCAGTGCCACTCATTCTGGCACTGCCTGGCAGGGCCACAGTTCTATCCATGGCAGGTGTGATTGGCCTCCAGGTGGCCTTCCTGGCCTCAGTTCAACAGCTATTACTGCACAGCCATGAACTATTGACAATGAACCACGAACAACTATTCCAGGTCTGTATACATCACCCAAAATGTTTGTGTACCTGCACCACGCCACTGAAATAGATGCATGCAAAGCAGCCTCAGCAACCTGATCCATCTGCCAGCTCCAAGTGAGAAAATGTGCCTGGGCCCATACACATGCAGCTCTGCCTGTTTTTATTGCAGGTTCCACTGTTGTATGTTGCTGTTAAGCACGGAGCATGTTTGCATATACAGAAAACTAGAGGATGAAGGAATTTTCCCTGTGCCAGATAGTGAAGGAGCATGCTCCAAGAAAACCCTTCCTTTGACCTGTGTATGTGCACTCCGTTGCTGTTGTGCAAGACCTGGCTGAGTGTCCAGATCATAAAATGAATGGAAAAAACTCATGCAGCCTGTGCAGGCCAGCAGGTACTGTTGCCATTTTAAAGGATTAAAAAATTAAGGTAGATCTTGTCCATGCATTGTGAAGTCAGTAATTCCTGCTCCTAATGCAGCCAGTGGGAATTGAGAAAGGTGCACTGCAAAGACTGAGTCCTCCAGAATGTGATTTATCTTTTCCAACAACATACCTTATTCTACCACGGAAAATTACAAACAAAAGGACTCAAACACAAAACTGCATAACTGTTTTGAAATGTATTTCAACAGAAATACAAGAAAACAAAAGCAAGCATTATGAGATCTCATGAACCCTCAAGACGCACAGTGAATGCAAAGTTGCGAAAACCCTCTTCTGAGGGGTTTCTCCCTATTATGAGAAATAGGTTACATGGAGTTTGTCATATTGAGATCTTTGTCATCGGTGACAATCTAACTTTAGAAAGAAACGATCAAGTTTTTTTATAACACATTCCCTCTCAAGAAGTTTGGAAAGGACTGCAGCTGAACTGGAGAGATCCCTTTAAACAAACAGAAAATCTTTGTTAAGTGTTCCCTGGGAATCACTGCTCCAAAGTACTACACCTTCAGCAATTAAAGCTCTCAGCTGCAGCGTTCCTGACTGTATTCCCTGTGACAAATCACCCACATGGCTTTTCCTTCTTAAGCCATTATACAGAATCACAGAGTTCCTGTACTTTTAGGGAAACATGAAGGAAACACTCAGGTGAAACTGATACCGGCAGCTCTCTGTGGGTGGGAGAGCCGAGTTTCACTTTTAGAGCTTCTCATGCCACAGACCTCTAAGCTAACAGCTCTGATCCCAGACAGAGCTGCAAAGACTGAAGCAGACACAGCTCCAGGCAGACACCCCTTAGGAATACCCTCGTCCTCTTTTAGGAAATTAAATCACAGAAGTAGGTTAGTGCAATGGTACTCACTTGGGGATGTAAGGCTCACTGCAGCCGCCAGCACAGCCAACGCAGTGACAAAGCTCACATCCATTCCTCCCGGGGCCATGGGTACACTGCAGGCAGGTGCAGGTGTTTCAGGAAATGTCCTGTGGCTCCTGTCTGCCAGGGAGCGTGGCTGCCAGGGCCCCACCCTGCAGCAGCTCGATGCTGGCCCTGCTGTGCAGCAGCACTACCTACTACCTGTATCCCTGCTGTCTGTAGCCTCATGCTTGCCTTGGGCCCTCCATGCTCCCCTTGCTAGGGTTGTTCTCCAGCAGCAGAGGATGGAAACGTCTCCAGAACAAACACTTGCAGAATTAAAAAACAAAACAAAACAAAAAAACACAAAACAAGAAAGCACCTTTGCTGTTAGATACTGTGTCTGTGTAACAGCTGTGTGTGCAGCACTGTGGACAGCTGGCTGCAGCAGAAACAAGCTTAAAAGGTGGGCCGATGTGAATCTGATGAGGTTCAACACAGCCAAGTGAAAGGTGCTGCACCTGGGTCAGGACAGTCCCAGATATATGTACAGAGTGGGAGAACCCATTGAGAGCAATCTGCAGAGGATTCTGGAGTCCTGGTGGACGAAAAGCTGGAGTCACACTGAGCCAGCAGTGTGCTTATGGCTGGAAGGCCAATTGTACCGTGGGCTGAGCAGAAGCAGGGTGGCCATAAGGGAAGGTGACCATCCCTTATGCTCTGCCCTCATGAGGCCCCCCCTGCAGTACTGCGTACAGGGGCCCCCAGAGCAAGAAAGATGTGGAGGTGTTAGATCAGGTTCAGAGAAGGCCACAGAGGTACTCAAAGACCTGGAACAATTCTCTTGTGAAGGACGATGAGGGAGTTGGGCTTGTTTAGCTTGGAGAAGAGAAGGCTCCAGGATGGCCTATCTGTGGCCTTCCAGCACTTAAAGGGAGTGTAAAACACGAAGGGAGTAAACATGAAGGAAGTCAACGTTTTACACAGTCTGATAGTGATAGGACAAGGGGGAATGGTCGGCCCTGGCATAGATTGCACAGAAAAGCCTGATCCCTGGAGGCATTCAAAGCCAGGTTGGATGGGAACGTGGGCAGCCTGAGCTGGTGGTTGGCAGACCTGCCTGTGGCAGAGAGGTGAAAATATATGTTCTTTAAGGTCCCTTCCAACACAACCATTCTGTGATTCAGAGAGGTGCAAGCTGGAGAAGCCCTGTGCCAGGCTTGAGTTGGACAGCTGTGCCTTCAGTGTGTGCATTCCCAGGGCTGCACTGTCTGTGCCCTAGCCCTTCTGACTCACTGGGGTTCTGGAGTAGTTTGGGGGAAGACGGCAAGAAAGGAACCGCAGCTGGTGTACATCCTCCATTCTTTCCCAATTTTTATCTCTGCAGCCCATTTCAGTAATTTTCTGTGCCTCAGTCTGACCTCCTGTGGGCATGGCTTTCTGTGGGGAAAAATAAAACAGTGTTTGGAGGTGCTTCTGTGAGCAGTGTCAAGAAAGGCTTTTCCTGGATCATGCAGGCAATGGGAAAGTCAGGGAAAGTTTTCTCCTCCGCTTGACACAGTTCACAGGTTCCAATCTTCCAGTGCCCGCCTCCGAACGGGGGGCTGTAACCACTGCAGCCACACTGCACCACTGCCACTGCGACCTCCTGGGGCTGAACAGCAAAACTAGCCCAGGAGGCCCTAGGCTCCCAGCCAGGCTCACCTTTGCTCCATCTCACCACAGCACAGCAGTGCTTACTGCAGCGGTTCTTAGCTTCCGAAATCCCAGATCACAAGGTATAAGGAACTGCCAGCCTCAGAGACTTTAATCTGCACTTGAAACTTCCCAACACCAGTTTCACAATTCAGCCTAATAATAAATTAATATGGTGCAATCAAACTGATGGGCTGTCATGGTTTAACTTTGTCGCTCTTGGTTCCTTCTTGATGCTCTTATCTACGGGGGCAAGAGAGCAAGGCACCTGCAGAGCACTGTGCATTCAGATGAGAGCCAGCTATGTCAAGAGGGGAAGATAACATGCGCTACTTGGAGCACAATTTCAAGGAAGTCATTTGCATTGAAATCAACAGGCTGACTCATTGTCAGTAATTAATTACAATGAAAAATCTGTTAAAAAACTCAACTGCCACTGCAGAAGCTAAAGTAGCCCACGGTTCATTCATACCTGAGCTTAGGTAATGATGAGACTGTTAACAGCATTAATGCACTTCAAGGTAGCATGAAGAGGAACAAGCTGAATAAAAAGAAACACAATGAGACAGGTGTTACTGAGGCAATATGTTAAATAAAATACCTCAGTCAGTACGTATTAGCTTCTGTGTTCCAGCTGCTCGGCGCTGCAGCACTGGGTTACATATCCTCGAGGACAGCCAAGGCATTCACTCTGACACATGCTCTGCATGGGATCTCCAGATGCAGCTTTAAAAGGCTGGTGCAGGTTCACAGAATCTTAGAATCATGTAATTGCTTGCATTGGAAAGATCCCAGAGATAACCTGGTTCCAGTGCTTGCTCTGGGCAGGGCTACCACCTGTCTGCTCAGGCTGCCCAGGGCCCCATCCAGCCTGACCTTAAATATAGCCAGGGATGGGATATCCACAGCTTCTCTGGGCAGCAGTGCCAGTGCCTCACTGCCCTTTCAGTGAAAAATTTCCCTGACATCTAACCCAAATCTACCTTTTTTAGTTTAAAGCCATTTCACTGTGTCCTGTCACCTGCAATGAGTTCTCCCCAGAGCCTTTTCCCGGTTGAACAAGCCCAGCTGCAGTATCCTCAATAAAGCTTTCCTCTGCAGTCACATCACACAACTTCAGCTCGTGTTTTACAACTTTATGTGCCACTTTATGTGCCAGTAATTTACAGTATGAAACCTAGTAGAAAAAAGGCAAAAGGTAAGCTGAAGAAACAACTCCATTTTATGACATCGGGAAATTCAAAATAATAATAATAAAGCCAGAAAACAATAGCAAATATTTTGCTATGATTCCACTTACACAGACAACCATCCAGCACACAAATAAATACCAGGTTAGACCTGGTAGAAAATCTTTTCCCAGAATTGCACTGACATAGTTGACAGTGGCATTAGCTGCAATTATAGCTAAAGTGGAGGGGTTTATTGACATATTGGCCTGGATTGAATTCAAAGCTGAAATGAAACTGCTAACCTGGAGGCAGAAGGCAGTCATTCTTCTGCCTTGAGAAATAAAGCTAATTCTTGGTTTGGTCACTTCTTAGGTTCTAACTTGTACTTGTGAGTGAAGCGTAATGTCTTACACCTTTCTCCAGTCACTCAAGCAATCTGCCCTTTCTAGCCCACTCTTTGCCCCCTCAGCCTCCATCACAGCAGTGATGGTGTGGCACAGGAAGCAGCACCTCGTGCCCTGCCCCACCAACACAGCCCAACTCCAAATCCCAAGCCCTCTGCAACACTGGAGGGAAAACCAGGACTCAGCAGCCTTCAGTCTGCCACTGAACTCTCAGCAGAGGGGCTGATATCTGATAAAGAGTAAAGCCAGTAACTCAGTTTGTGAAATTGGGATAAATCATGTTAAAACAACTTTGGACTGCAGCTATGTTCAGTAAGATGTAATTCAAACCTTTGTTTTTGGCTTACTGATAGATCCTGTGGGCTTCTCTCTAACTTTAGAACATTTTTTTGGTTCTGTGTTCCTCAAACCTGCACACAGTGCTCAAGGCGAGGCCAGACCAACACAGTACAGACTGGGACAACCCCTTTCCTCACCTAGCAGCCATATCTCCTGCTCCAGGTAAATGTCCCTGATGGTAATGCTGCCCCGGCCCTGGTCCTCCTTTCTGTGCAGAGCTGAGGTATCCCATCCTCTGCTGTGGGCTGGCACTTGGGGCTCTGGCACTATTAGGCATTATATCTGGAAGTGTCTCTACTGAACTTTGCTTTGTTTTTGTAATTTTCATCCTAGGTCCAGGTCAGTGCCGGGCACCTGCCTGTGGAAAAGACTGTGATCCCCCTCCCTCCTGACCAAGCCCCCTGCCTGTCGGTGTGGCTGCTGAAGTCATTGCTGACCATGAACAGTTGAACCCTGATATCTTTTAACCACTGTTTGTTCTGGGAAATTAAATTTTCCCTTGTACATCATCAAAACCTAATGAGTTCAACAAGGCCAAGTGCAGGGTGCTGCAATTGGGTCGAGGCAATCCCAGATATTTATACAAACTGATCTCCTTGAGAGCAGCCCTGAGGAGGACTTGGGAGTCCTGGTGGATGAGAAGCTGGACATAAGCAGTGTGCGCTCGAAGCCCGGAAGGCCAACTGTGTTCTGGGCTGCATTAAAAAAAAAAGGGTGGCCAGCAGGGAGAAGGAGGTGATTGTCCCCCTCTACTCAGCTCTTGTGAGGCCCCATCTGCAGTACTGCGTCCAGGCCTGGGGTCCCCAGCACAAGAAAGACAAGGAGGTCTTGGAACAAGTCCAGAGGAGGGCCATTAAGATGATCAGAGGGATGGAGCACCTCTCCTGTGAGGAAAGGTTGAGGGAACTGGGCTTGTTTAGCTTGGAGAAGAAAAGGCTCCAGGGTGCCTTTTCCTCACTGTGGCCTTCCAGTACTTGAAGGGAGTGTATAAACAGGATGGGAAAGGACTGTTTACATGGGTGGATTGTGACAGGAGAAGGGGGATTGGTCTTAAACTGAGTCAGGGAAAGTTTAGTTTATATATGAGGAGGAAGTTTTTCACAGAGGGTGGTGAGGCACTGGAACAGGTTGCCCAAGGAGGCTGTGGATGCCCCATCCCTGGAGGCATTCAAGGTCAGGCTGGATGTGGCTCTGGGCAGCCTGGTCTGGTGATTGGTGACCCTGCACATAACAGGGAATTGAAACTCGATGATCTTTGTGGTCCTTTTCAACCCAGGCCATTCTATGATTCTATGATTCTATGATCATCGTGCTCTGTGTTACCTCTCCAGCATACAGCTAGCACTGGGACCTTCCTGCTGCCGTGGTGAACTCGTGCCCATGGTCACTAACCCCCTTCTCTGAGGAGAGCTCACCCAAAACATATCCTCCCCACACCTTTCTGAGTTTCCATTCCTTCTTTCTAAAAGGACACAAAAGAAATTCAGGGTGAAACTCAACAATGTGTTATACAGGAATGCATGG